GGGAGGCGGCCAGGAAGTTCGGGGGGGGCCCAGCGCTGCAGGGCGGCTTTGACAAAGGCGACGGGGGGCCGCCGGACGGCGAGGACGGGAAGCCCTTCCTGGGCAAGGACGGCGCCCTGCTCGCCTTCTCCGCCGCGGACGCCGTGCAGGCGTCGCTCGGTGAGTCCGCGGGGTCCGGGGCGGGACGGGACCGGGGGGATGCTGCTGCAGCCGCCCCCTCGGGCACTCCCTGCGGCGCCTCCATCCCTTTGGGCGCCGAGATCCCAAGGGGGGGCCGTGCCGGGCGCTCCGGGCTCCTGCCCCAGCCCAGCGGCTCTAATACACACCCCCAGCCAAAAATCAAGGGGGGCGGGGGGGAGACTGCTGTAGTGCTCCCTGTTAGCCGAGCCTCTCTTTTTCCTAGCCCCCTTATAACGGAAGGGATCCACGGGACCCGGGCAAGCCAGGACTCCTCCCTCCCCAGGCTGGGAACTTAAATCGGCGACCCCGGGGACCGACAGCTCGGGCTGAGGTCCAGCTGCTCCCCGCCCCGGGTCGGGAAGGAAAGTTTGGAGCGCGCTTCGCAGCCGCATCCCGTCTCCTGCGGGGGCCGGGCCCCTCCGCCTGGTGCTGGGTGGAAAGCGAGGAGACCGTGGGGCAGGACGGTTCCCCCCTGCCGCAGGGGATCGGGAGCAGATACCGGCCCGTGAACGGTTGCAAATGCTCATCGGGGGAAGAGAGAGCCCTGCAGAGACCCGTCCGGGCAGAAAAATGCCGCTCCCTTCCCCCATGCCATTTGCTTCCCTTCCCTTGCACCGCGAAGCCGGGTCCTCCCTGCAGACAGCCGCGGAGCCGCACGTGATCCCCGGGGCTGCGGGTGCCGGGCTGGAGAGGGCCCGTGGCCGCGCTGTGTAACGAGGTGCCTCTGGTTCCTTTCAGTGGGGGCTGTCCGGGCGCAAGGGCAAGAGGACTCGAAAGCGGAGGACGACCCGAAAGGCAAGGAGGAAAGTTTCTCCATGGACAGCGATCTCGATTACAGCTCGGACGACAACATCACCAGCCAGGCGGCTCACAAAGAAGAGGACTCTGGCAACGCGCTGGAAGAGAACCCCCAGAGCACAAACTCCTCCAACAACACCACGTCCACGGGCAAAAACAGGAGGAGGAGAACAGCCTTTACTAGCGAGCAGCTGCTGGAGTTGGAAAAGGAATTTCATTGCAAAAAGTACCTGTCTCTGACAGAGAGATCTCAGATCGCCCATGCCCTCAAACTCAGTGAAGTGCAGGTCAAAATCTGGTTCCAGAACAGAAGAGCCAAGTGGAAAAGGGTGAAAGCAGGTAACGCCAACTCCAAGACAGGAGAGCCCTCCAGAAACCCCAAGATCGTGGTACCCATTCCCGTCCATGTCAGCAGATTTGCCATCAGAAGTCAGCATCAGCAACTAGAACAAGCCAGACCCTAATCCGCTTCCCTCTCCCCCCCACCCCTCTCAGATCCAAAAGTTTTGGATCAAAAGCTTTGAAATTGGGTTTAAACAGTAAACCACACAAAAAAAAGACTTTGATATGAAACTTGCCACATATCGAGCAAAGCGAAAATTTATTAATAAAGAGGTTTTAAAGCTGTGTTTTGGTTCCCAGCGGGAGTACCAGGCCCTTGAAGAGAGACACAACAAATATTTATTATACTGTCCTACTTTGTACATACAGTGCTGGATCTCGGCTGCAGTATTTGGACTGTGATGGGACAAATGACTAGGCACACCAAGTCTTTACATTCCCGAAGAAAACCACCACCACCAAACTGCAGTACATATTAACCACCTTTGGTTTTTGTTTCTTACCATTTTGAAGGTAAAAAAAAAAATGAAACAAAACTAAGAGTATTTTTTTGTTGTTTGGGTTGGCTGAGTGGCAGTCATTTGGGTGAATTTTTTAATATATATAAATATATATATTATTTTTTTGCCTGGCTTTCTGTCGAGATTTGGTTGCTTATTCTGTTAAGCCATGTTTTTTGTTTTGGTTTTTTTTTTAAAGCACGATCCTCTCTATTGTGTTTAATTTATTTCAATGTAGCTGGTTTCATTATAAGTTATGAATTTTAAAAGCAAACTCAGTCTTGTGAATAAAAACAAAGAAACAAAAAAAAAAAAAAGCAAAAAAAAAGCAATCGACCGACTATTCTGTACAAATTTTCGACGAATCCCAGTGTCCTGGGAAGATTTTAACGATGTGGCCCTTCGTTTTGGGTTTGTTTTGTGTGTTTTGTTTTTTGTAGGTTTTGGCTTCTTTTTTTTAAAGCCAGGTGTATGGTCAACGAGGAAATATTTAGCAGCATACCTAAAGTTCCCCTCTGGGGGAGAGGGCACCTGCCACAAGGCTGATGACTGGGGTTATATGGAAAGAAATGCCTTGTAATATGCTGTAAACAGCAATGCTGCTGAGAGGGGTGCGATGGGGAGAGGGAAGGAGGGGGAGGTGGTTCAGCCTGACAACCGAAAGGCTGGGACTGAAGGATCAAGGCCAGGTGGGAGCTGATCAGAAGAGAATAAGGTTGCCCTTCGTGAGCTGCTCGGTACATTGAATTGGAAAGGAATAGGCAGCTCCTCTCCCCCCAGTTCCTATAAATACCTAAACACACACACAGCGAACTACCCGGAGCCTTAGAAGCAGCCAGCACTGAAAAGCCGGGAAATTAACTGCCTTGCTTTTACTTCCGACAGAGGGATAAATCACACGCACTTCTGGGGCTGCTCTCACTACCCAATAGCTGTGTGCAGGGTTACTGGGGAGTGTCGAGCGAGAGGGATCCAGGCAGGGGTTGCTCTTGCAAGTGAAGCTGCCTCGGGATTGTTACCCACCGGGCTGCGCTGCTTCTGCACAGGAAATTACCGGGGCTAAATCGGGGCGTGTTGGCTTTGATCCGTCTGAGGAGCAAGAAGGAAAACTGAAACCAAGCGAAACTGGCAGGACTGGAGCGGTATTTAACATGCAAAGTCCCGTCCCCCTCAAAAGTTGCCATTATGCCACGGTGGTTGGCACGAGCACAATGTAACACAGTCAATGGAGTGGAGAGGGCAATATTCTGCTAAAGGGACCAAACGAAAGAACTCCTTGGAAAGAGGTGTTTTTCCTTTGCCCCCCACACGACCAGGGGGTTGGGAGACCAGATCTTGACACACACTTGGTTTCAGTCTGTCTCTCTGAATTCACATCAGTGGCGTTGAAATGCATATTTGATAATTTTGCTTTTGCCCCATTTGCTTCTTTGCCCACACACTTCGATTACTACCGTGCATTTCAACGCCTTTCCTGCCAGAGAATTTTAAGCGACCCCCCCAAAATCCCCTGTGCAACTCACTTATGAGGCGTCTACTGTGTGTAGCAAGGGCAGAAGCGATTTACAAGCTAGGAAGAAAGGAATTTAAAAGAAATCATTCATTTGCTGCATACACTAAAATAAAATTTCAAACAAACAACCCCCGCAACTAATAATAAAAAAAAGGTACTAGGCTCCTCAACTGCCTGTGAATGTGGATAATTAAGGAGAGCTGCAAGGAGCAATTTGCTATGCAGATAATGATGAGACTTCTAGTTTAAGCTCCAGTGAGTAAATCAAGTGTTGCAGAAGGTCAATACCAATATTGACATAATTTATATCAGTTGTACTTCATCATTTTTTTTTTTAATGCTGAGTTTGAACTGCATTAGAATGGTCTGGAAATGAAGCTTTGTGAGGACAGCGCCTTATGCGTGTTTTCCCTTCTAAACTGTCCTTAAAAAAAAAATCAAGTATCTCCAAGTGGCCCAATCAACATGGATTTTTCCTCCTTTTGCTACACGAACTATATTATTTATAATGACTGATAAACGGTCGAGGCGAATTAAAAAAAATCCAGAGGGACAGCAACTGATAGCCCACATTTATTGTCAGTGTGAATCTTGGGCACTGAAAGGAGTCTATGCATTTCGGCAACGGCAGATAATGACTGGCCCTGGTCCCTCCTACCCTAAGGATCTGTTGATACCGAGGGTTTGAAATGAATCCTACCTCATAGAAAATAATTTATAGCTACTGAGGTACTAGAGAAATAAAGTACAGCTGTGAGGGTGTATGAGATAGTGCGGTTTAAGGGTGGGCGGTGCAGAGGGGAAGTCCCGACTAACACTTGTTAGGCGAAGAGAACCTTCGCGTGTCCCAACATTCTACCCATGGAACGTTGCAACTTTGGGCGCCGGGCTGCCCACAGCCCCGCACGCACACGCTCCCCACAGCGAAGCAGAGAAACGCGAGACTTGCCCACGGCTTCTGGAGAAGCGAAAAAGAAACGAAAGCAAAGGCACAGACTCGTAAACCCCCGTGACCAATTTGGGCAGAGCCCAAACTGCAGTATCCCCCCCAATCTCGATTTATTTTAAACGATGCGAGCAGCATTACAATGCAACCTTTCTTCTGCAAACGGAAGCTTTTGCTGCCCCGTGTCCCTTCTCAGACGCCGCTGAAATAGAAGCTCCAAGTGACTCGAGAAAGTTTGGAGCTGGGCAAAAGGCGGTGAGCCCGCTAGAGCCACTTACACCGCTTTGGAGCTGGGAGGGATTTTCATTTTAGGAACGAACAGCTGTTCCTTTGCCCCATCTTCCGCCAAGGGGGCTGGGAGGGGAAAAGACACACGCGACAGTGAATGCGATAAAAGCAGGCAGCTGCCAAATGTTCAGCAAAGTTATTTACTAATCAAAGTTCCCCCCCCCACACCTACCCCCTAGTAAAATAACGGCAGTGTACAAGGAAGAGAGCAAAGGCGGGGGGGAGCGCTTGAAGTGGAAGCCACTAAGACAGGGACAGAAGAAAAGAAGATAAACAAGTGAGGGGGGCTGATAGCTGTCATCATCACCACCATCATGGCTTTTCATTTGGCTGCCTAATGAGTCAGATCACAGGCAGAGAGAAAAATTGTCAATCGCCCAGGCTCTAATGAATTTTTTTGCAAATTGTAATCAAGCCAGGCCGTCTCAGCTCGCTGATTAATGAGACCCAGGAGGCTTGGCCAGCACCTCAGCTTTTTATTCCATCCCGTCCTCCCTGCACTAAATTAACAGCAACTTGTCTGAGCTTCAAATTAACTCCCAATGATTAATTCTGATGGGGGGGCCTGAAGAATAGCTCGTCCTAATAGGCACTGGCCTGTGATGCTGTTTGAAATTAATACACTTCCCCTTCGGCTGCCTGCTTTAATCCAAGGTTGGGTTTTGACATCACTATATTTGTTGTTACAATAAATTCCTCTTACATCTGTAGATCAAATAATTACAAGGCTTCGGTAGTAGAACAGAAATCGGGGGCCAACTTGCAACAGCCCCAAGTTGGATTGTGGCTCCCCCAGTCCCTCATCTGCCCCTTTCTTTGACACTTGATTACAAGCACTGGATTATTTGCAAAGTAAATTCACCGCTAATTATTATTTAAAAGGGCATTTTTGTATCTCCCTGTGCGGTGCTATTTTCCCCTACTCGCCTGTCTCTTAAATCAGACAGACAATTCATTTTAAACACACTAGTGGCGTTTATAATCATCCCATTAGGACAACGAGGGGAATGATTATTTTGGTAGGCAATATCCCCCCCCTCCCCCTTCCCATGATGCATCTAAAAAAACCTCCGGGAAGACACTTTTTTTTTGGCCACGGTAGCTGTGCTTAACTGACGAGGAGAATATGGTGAAACTTAGCTACTTCCAGTGCACTTGATGGCAGAAAAGCAGGAGAAAAGGGCTGTTCCTGATGTGTATCACTGGCAGAGTGGTCTTCCCAGGGTGATGGGGATTTCAAAGCATTTCCCCAGGATCGGGAGGAGCGGCGGAGACTGCTGCCATTTTCCAGCCCGTGTGCCCAGTTTGGGTCAAATGCTTCGTTGTGGGCGTCACAACCATCTCTTTAGTCCTCGGCCCTGGGGGGGGGGTTTGAACATCGCCCCCGCCGCCTTTGGGAGATGATCCTGGCTGCCTGCGTCTCTCCCTTTTGTTTTTATAGCTCCGATGATCATCATCCCATGTTGTAATATTGTAAACTCATCGTGCTATGCCCTGTATTGCATGCAATTTACCACTACACATATGTCTCTGGGGTAAACACATCTGTTCTAAGGAGCCGAGGCGCCTCCCCCTCTGAAGGGTCAGATCTCTCTTCCATCTTGTTTCTGTTTGTATTGACTTAATTGGTTTAATTATTTCAGCTGTGATTGGCAATACTCAGCATTGTATCTTTTTAACTGCCCCTCCTGCCCCAGGGGTCTGCCAGTGATCTCTGTCAGAAGGAGGCAGATTGTTTAGCCATCCTGCAATTTACAAGAGTCCCTTTGTGCTGGGGAATGGAGATAAAAGTGGGACTGTTCTCCTTCTACTGGGAACTGAGGGTTCGGGATGGATTTATTATTTTTTCTTCCCGTAAAGGTGGGGCAAGAGGGAAGATGATGCTTTCACAATTCATTTATTATCGTTGTTGGTGTTGTACTCCGACTGTCATCAGGAGCAGCGAGGGAGGATGCCCCCCCTCCCCCGCCTTAACCGGACAATGTAAGAGGGTAGAAGAAAGATCTGACTGAGCTCATTTGCAAATAAACGTGTTGTTCAGCTGGTAGTCGCACCGACAGGAACCCTCCCTTAGCAGAGCCAAAGCAGAATTAAAACAGGACGAACTTTCATATTCTTAAGCCTTTTCCCGACAAAGAGGGAGAGAAGCACAGCGTGTTTGCAAATTGGGGTTCTGATGTATTTGTTTTTTTCCCCTTCGAAA